CACTGAACAATTTTTGGAAATTTACCCTTGATGCATCGGTACAGGTTGAATATGTACCGATGCACACTAGCCCAGAATTCCATTTCGTGTACGAAAATCCACTCAAATCAACTCAAATGCTTCATCTTTCATCCCCTTTCATGTTCTTAACTCATATACACATGCTTAAACCAATTTATATCCATATAAACCATCTTTAACTTCAAAATTCTATTCCTCATATGTAACTCAAGAATTATACCAACTTTGCAACATGTTTTAATTCCAATTCTATGGCTTCTAACTTCTTAATTAGACACTTGACAAGTCAAATTTAACTTATCAACTTTCATTCAAGATTTACTTTAAAAACTTCTAATATTTAATCTCTCTTGACTCCTTTATCTTATGGTTTTAAGATAAATTAAGCTTTCCTTAAGCTTAATTATCATCTAATGATCAAAACTCAATCTTAAATTCAACTAAATATCAACCAACAAGAGATCTTACCTTTGCTTATGGCTTCACGTGAAGAAGAAGAAGAAAGGAGAAGAAGAAAACTCTGGAGAAATCTCTCCTCTTCCACGTGGTTCCCTTATTTTATAAAGGAAAATAAAAATCTTATTTGTCAATTGACCATTTTACCCTTTAATTCATTCAATAATTACCAAACAACATTCAACTATATTTCCAATAAGTCATTAAACTATTTAACTATTCTACTTTTATCACCAATTTTCGGGTTGTTACAAGGAACACCCTGGAGGTTTAAAACCCAAAGCCCCACTAAAACCCCCACTTTGGTCACCATGGCCAAGCCTTGAGATGTTGGGCTTGAATTGAAGCTCTAGGGGTGGAGATAATCATTTTTACCTTCAAATATTCGAACTAAGGCATGGAATAACAAAGTTAACACCTTTGATGGGCTTGCGACAAAGAAGAAAAGAATGAAGTAGAAGAAGACAAGATAGAGTTATCACCTTCTCAACGTGTGACATATGCACAATTAAGGGATATCAACCTTTTTTCAAACTATGGGTAAATTATTTCCTTAGTCTCTGCTCCTTTGCCCCCAATTCAAAAATACCCATTTTAAGCCTATATGGACCCAAAACATAACCCAACCAAGCCCAAACTTGGCCCAACTCATCAAGGAGGTCTACTATGGTTACTCTAAGCCCAAATGATTACCCGAAACTACTAGCCTGGTATTCGAGGTGTTACAATAGCATGGGGACAAACATCCAAATCGTTATGTTAGAAATAATCTTTCTCAAATTCTTCCAAGATAGAAGAGCCGAAAGAGGATATTTGTTTAAAACATTCGAAATACCCTATAAGGCATACATATTCATCCATATCTACTATGTTACTATACATGAAAATAATAAATACTCGAAAGTTTCAGGATCCTTCATGCATATAGGGCGTAATTGATTTGCAAGAGCAGAAATCCCTTTGTTCGAGAGTTTCACTCTTACAAAAACTCATCTTTCGATTACCAAACAGATAAAAATCCCCACTTTTGGAGGAACAATACCAGACCATATCAATTTTTTCCATAATGGGTAGGTAGTCAAAGCTTGAGCAAGTAAATTGCCACCATATTTAATCGAGAAAATATCGGTCCTGACCCTTTCCATAAGAGCTAATCTTTATCAAGGTTGCTAGATTGAAACCCCTACAGGACAAAGATGAGACCATCTTATTGTGATATTCCAGATTGAATAGCCTTATCCTTAACTGGATATTCCATGACCAATTTGGTTCTTTTTTTTTGCCAAAATCTACAATTCTACCCCTTTTGTTACAACATAAGACAAAAATTGAGGGAATCTCTCTTAAGAGGGGTATCACCATTCCAAATATTATCCAAAAGAAAATATATCTTCTAATCATCATCTTATAAAGATATATTTTTATGAATGCAATAACCTACTGCATCGTTTCTAGAAAAAATCGACAATGCCTTTCCAAATCCATGAAGAGAATCTTGAGTTTGGGGAAGCACAGAGAAGGGCCCCAGACTCTCAATTAACTTTGGTAACAATTGTTTGTTTTTAAAGGCTATCATGATCATTTCCAAAATTCCAAGTCCATTTATTAAGGAGAGCCTTATTTTTTAAATCCAAGTTGATAACATTGAAGCCCTCCATATTGGTACGGTAGGCAAATCTAGGACCCGAAAGTTAGACATAAGGCTATTTAGTTTTCTTAACACTGAAGCAGGGATCCGAAATAGAGACATAAAATACACTAGAAGACTTGATAACCCAAATTTAATCAATGTCAATACTCTTCCTATAAACAATAAACTGCATTTCCATCTTGCTAACTGAGACATGAACTTGCTAATATCAGGATCCCACAAAGTGATAGAGTTCTTATTAAGGGCCAAGTGGGATCCCCAAATATTCTAAGGGGAAGGGACATGAGGCACAACCAATATGATTTGCCTAGTGAAATAATGATTCATCTTTAACATTTATTTTGAACAATTTACTCTTATTTAGATTTAATCGTAATCCAGATACCGATTCAAAAACTCATAGAATTCTCTGAACATTTGATACTTGGCCTTGAGAGAATCCATAGAATATCACTAAGTCACGAGCAAACTGAAGTTGATAAGCATATAGAGTTATTACCTTGCCCAATAGAGAAACCACAAAATAAACCCTTTGAAACAACCTTATTTAGCATAAGATTCAAAGATTCGCCCACAATATTAATGAGTAAGGGTGAAAGTGGGCAACCTTAGCGAGAGATGTTGAATTTATTGGTCGACGCACCATTAACAATGACAAAGATAATTGCTGAAAGATACACCTTCGAATTCACAAACACCATATATCCCCAAAACCCATTTCTTTCATGACCAGGATAACAAAATCCCAATTGATAGTGTCATAGGCTTTTTGAAAGTCAAATTTGAAGGCTACCCCCTTCGACCAGACTTGGATACACAACCAATAACTTTGTTGGCGATCAAGGTACAACCATGATTTGTCTATCTGGGATAAAGTCAAATTGGTTTTTACTAATGATACTGTCAAAACAATTGTGCAGGGGCCTTACTAAAACCTTAGCAAAAATTTTGTATACACCTCCAACAAGGCTAATAGGTCGATATTCATCAAGATTAGAAGAGTGATGAAAGAGTGATTTAACCCTTCTTCCAACACGCGTCCATGATAAAAGTCATCAAAGAACCTTAAGAATTCATTTTTGAGGTACTATCAGTGTTGGAAATCAAGGTAAGAATAACACAATAAAAATTTAAATAACCTCGATCAATCCTAGGATCTCATGCATATCATACTATAGTAAAATAAAATGTGAGATTACCTTAATATGTGGTTTGAAAGTCATTTCTTGCTATCTCTGATTTTCTTTCGATCTTTAAAGGTGTTGTCTTTCTGAAAGATGACTACGCTCTACACATATTCACACACGAATGAATCAATAATGGTTAACGAAATGCTAGTTCATTTTTTCTGAAAAATATGTTTTTTATGGTGTTTGGGATGGCTAAAGAAGATTAAAATTTACCCTAAGCATATATATATATATGATTTAATTAGGGTTAAAATTAATCCTCTTTTTTTCTATATATGACTTAATTAGGGTTAAAATTAATCCTCCATTTTTTATCATACTTAATTTAAAACTCTTTTAAATTAAGAGTATTTGTTTGACTGTAATTGGTTTTCTGGAAATTGAATTCTGGAAAATGAATTACATTTTCTGGAAAATGTTTTACGATGTTTGGAATATGTTGTTTAAACCTTTTTTCCACTAGTTGATAAGTTTTATAAAAATTATTTATTACAAATATTAAATACAATAAATAATATTATTTATCATAAAACTTAATATAATTATTTTTAAAACATTAAAATAATTTATTTATTATTAAATATTATTTTTATATTTTTATTAATAAAAATATTAATATTGGTATATTTTATTGAAATAAAAATATTATAAATTATATTAATTATTTATTAAAGTAATAGTATTATATTATATTTTAAAAATATTAATTATTATATTTTAAATATCTTTATTAAAATATTATTAGATTATTATATTAATATTCAATATATAAATAATATTATTCATTATTAATAATTTAATAATATTATTTCTATGAAATTAATAAATAATGTAAATTTTATTAATAATTTATTATATATTATTAAAATAAAAATATAATATCTTATATTATTATAATATAATTGATTATTTTATTATAATATTAAAAATATAATATTAATATTATTATAAATATATTTTAAATATTCTAATAATTAATATTTTGATTAAAATGATATTAAAATATTTTATTAATATTAAATTCATAAAATAAAATTATTTTGAGTATTTATTCTTTGAAGTTAAAAGTTTGGAAACATGACTTACGAAAAATCAGACCGTAAGTCATTTTCTAGAAAACACAAAGGAAATTTTGTTGACCATGAAAATATTTTACGTTGGCCAACCAGTTTTCCTCCAACCAAACACTGGAAAACATTTTCCGAAAAATGAATTACGTGAAACAAACACGGAATTTCGGGAAAAACAAATTCCGTAATTGGTTTTCGCCTCAAACAGACCCTAAATAATAACATAATTATTATTTATCTAAAATTTTTTAAATAAATAATAATATAAAACATATCTTTTATCTAATAAGGAATTCAAATTCATTCAAAACTTAATAAAATATTATTTATTTAATATTATTTCTAAATCGAATAAAAAATAATAATAAACAAAATATTTTATCAAAAGAATATGAATTTAACTTATTTAATTTTAAATAAATAATCTTTTACAATATAATTTAACATAATCTCATTATCTTAAATTATTTTTTTAATGTAAAAGAGGCAGAGCCTTAATTGAGTACTGAGGCTTTAAAATAGGGGACCTATAACATCTCGCTCAACTAACGAGGAAACAGCAGCAGGAGCATTGGAGAAAGTGAACAGCGTGTGATTGCGGTGAGGATACAATTAGGCCATTCCATCAGTCACCATGTTACCTTCTCGGGGAGTCCAAAGGAAATCCGTATACCAACGACGCCAGCGCAACGATGAGATAGCACGGACGAGGGGAAGAGAAGCACTTGCCGAGGTAGGATTATTAAGCAGCTGTATGGCTTGAATACTGTCGGATTGGATTTGCAACAGCTCCACGCTATAATGCAATGCAACTTGAAGACCAATGTAGATAGCCCACAGCTCCACTTGGAGAGGAGAGGTTATGCCTACCGATTTATGAAAACCAGTCATCCAAACGCCCTCACTAGAGCGAACCACTCCACTAGCAGAACCCAAGCTGGAGATGGAGTCCACCGCCGCATCCGTGTTGAGGTAAAACCCCTTGTCCGGGGGAGGCTGCCACGTGATTGCTGTCATGGTGCGAGTGATAGGAGTATCAAAAACAGAGCGAGTAGAAACAAAATGCGAAGACCAAGCTAGGCTTAGCTGAAGCACATCCTCCATTGATAAACACGCATCAGTAAAGAGAAAGCTATTACTTCTTTTTCATATTTGCCAAATGAGAGTAGGAAAAAGAAAGCCCCAGGAAAATGGCATAGCAGGCACGGTACTTTGTCAAGCCAAGTTGCCTTTTATCCAATAAGAAAAAAAGGAAAAGAAGCTTTGCAAAAGCAAGGGTGGAACCATACATTCCCAGAGAGTGTGCACCACATGGCAATCCCGCAGCACGTGTAAAGTAGTTTCCACATGCAGAATACAAAGCGAACAGATAGGTGTCTTCGTTAGCCCACGTCGGTAACGCTCATGATTGGTCATTAGACGATCCTAAAGAGTTAGCCAAAGAAAGACACGAGCTCGTTGCGGGACTTGGAGAGACCAAACAATATTCCAAAGTGGGTCCACAGCATTTCAGCGAGCATTGACCAGTTTATCATAAGCAGTGTTGACACTCAAATTGTGCAGCGGATCCTATTTCCAAACAGGTTTATCATCATCGTTATCGGCCATAGGTGGTTTAACTCCTAATATGAGGAACAACTTCCTCGGAGAAAAGCGACGAGATTTTCGCAACGTCCCAGTCCCCATGGAGATTCATTAGATCCTCAAAACCAAGAGCGAGGAAAGGATCCTGAGGAGAGGACGAGTAGGCACGCAAGGATCCAAGAGATGGAACCCCAACATCATCTAGCAAATGAATTGAAGAACCATTACCTGGTAACCAAATCAGGTGCTCGCCGAGGGTTCCCCAAATGTTGGAAAGGGCACGCCAAAGTGGTGAGCCAGCCAGCCTGGTTATGGAGTGCGGACATAGTGCAAGCATACGGTATTTTTGTCTTAGAGCTTAGACCTAGAAGGCAACTGGGCGAGAGATGAGAGCATACCCAAGCTTCCATAGGAACGCCGTATTATGATCATATGAATGATGGATACCCAGACCACCTCTGTTTAAAGGTTGACAGAGTTTGGACCAATTGACAAGAGAAACTTCCTGCTGGTAGCCAATGAGCCCCAAATAAACTGCCGAACCAACTTGTCTATCTCATTACAAACACCTATTGGTAATCGGGAAGTTTGCATAAAATAGATCGGGATAGCAGCGAGAACAGATTTGGCGAGGGTTATTCGGCAAGCCAGCGAAAGAGTGCGAGCAGCCCAACATTTGAGTCCGACATGTATCTTATCCAAGCTAAAATCGTAATCCGAACAACGAACTCGTCTATGGATAACCGGGACTCCCAGATATTTTTCCAGGGAATCAACCTGTTGATAACCAAGAAGAGAACAGATCGAATGCTGCAACGAAATATCTGTACTGGGGGAGAAGTAAACAGTTGTTTTCCGGAATTAACTCTATGGCAGGAAGTAGAGCCAAATTCAGAAAATGTTGTTGCTATGACTTGAGCTTGAGCCAAACTTGTTTTCCCATAAATCCATTGCGAGCCAAGAAAAAATGTGACCAAGTGCCGGTAGAAATAAGTTTATGGATACGGTGACCAAGACATTCCATGATAAGAACGAATAAATACGAGGACAGTGGATCGCCTTAACGAACACCGCGTTCAGGGCGAAATAGTTGTCATCCATCCTTGCTTGGTGTGCTTATTGCGCATGGAATGGATGATTTCCTGGTTGAGGATGATATTTTCTGCAATAGATCTTCCTGCAATAAAACTGGTTTGTGTCGGATGAAGAAGGCGAGGCATGATTGGTTCGAGTCTTCAGACAATAATTTTTGTAATCAATTTGTAAAGAACATAGCATTGACTGACGGGCCGAAAGTCAATCATTGTTTGAGGAGAATCCACCTTTGGAATGATAACAAGCGTGGTTCAGGTAAATGGCTCCTCAAGCGAACCACCATTGAAAACAACCTTAACCATACGATAAACATCACCCTACTGTCGAAACGATTTTTTTTATTAAAGTGAGATTTTAAAAATATACTATTTTTTTATTTACTTCTTTTGATTAATTTTTAATTAAAAAGTAGTGTGATTTAAAAAATCTCTCATTTCAAAAAATTTGGGATTCACTTTAAAAAAAAAAATATGGTTCGAAGAGTCGCCACTAATCTTTGATCAGGGTGTGATTGGGCACCCCAAAACATTTTTTCATTTTAAATAAAAAATTAAGTTTAATTAAAATGGAAAATCTATGGTATGCGTTACCAAAATTCGAGTTTAGGAGTCGGTTATGCGTGGGGAAGGATTAGCACCACCATAACGCCCTAAATCGGTACCTAGTCGATTAATTAACGTCTTTGTAATGAAATTTACAAAATCAAATTTAATTTAATTTATAATCCCACAAAACAACAAAATATGAATTTTATAATGAAATATAATAATATTAAATTATTTCATATTGAGAAGAAACAAACCCCTCATACCTTGAGGCAATTAATTCTTACTCCACTCGAAATAAATAAATATTATAATTCCATTATAATATGCAAATGCACCCAAATAGATTAAATTAAAAATTACCAAACCTTTTTTTTAGAAAGAAGAAGGATATTCGATTATTTAAAAATATTGAGATCAAACTTTAGATAAGTTCTAACAATTTTTTCTTGAAAATTTTAAATAATTGAATATTTATTTTTCTTTCGTTCCAGGAATCATTTTTTAGGTTTCACTGTTGGGATACACTTTCAGTTTAAAATCGTCAAAAGTTACTCTCTAATAAGTTAAGACAAGCCCCTCAAAACAATTTTAAAATAAAAGGGTATTACCCTTAATCCAATTATTTGATTATATCAAGTTATGCACGTGATGGTATCATACATGAATTAACTGAAAATACTTTGCAATCATCTAAATAATAAAAAAAATACAAAAAATTATCATGTGAGGTGACATTTTCATGCAAAAATTATATACACATATTTTTAACTAAAAATTATAAATTATATATACATATTAACATGTAATGTACAAATGTGACTTAAATACCAAAAACAAAATCAAACTACGAATTTTAAAAAATAATTGTACTTATTAAAATATGGACTAAATAATATTGAACAAAAACTTTAGCACCATAACAACAAACAAGATAATAAATGGGGTGGAAATGAACACATTATACCATTCTAGATTTTTAGACTAAAATAAAAACCCTCAATTTTACAAAGAACTGAAACCAGAATAAACCCTACACATACATGGGATTCAAAAGAAACATGAAAAAAATCTAGAGTTCAAATGTCTAAACAACAGAAATTAAAGAAATTAATAATCGAGACTGGAAATAAATGCGCGTAATGTAACATTCCAATCATCAGGTCAGTGACCAGAATGTAAGAATTTTAAACTCGGTGATTTAATTAGAATAATTTGAAAATTCAAGGACTTATTATGGAATTTTTGGTTAGGACTTGATATTAAATTTGGATAGTGGAAGGGCAATATGGTATTTTTACCTGAAATATTTTTATCTTCTCTTTTAAAGGATATAAACATGGAATAGAAGGGGAAAACTCTGGAAACTTTACTTATCTTCTTTCTTCTTGGCCGTGGAAGCCATTGCAAAGGTAAGATTCTGAAATGTGTTGATTTCCTTTAATTTTTTGGGTTGGTGATGAAGCTTGGGTGTTATATAAGCTTAAGGAAAGTTTGTATATGATTAAAATAACAAGAGGAGTGATTTAGAAGTGGATTAGTAAAATAGGTTTTGAAATGAATTTTTGATATGGTGTAGTTTCTGGAGTTTTAGTGATAAAGTTGACTTGTCATTGATCTAGTTAAAGAGTTAGGAGGATTAGAAATGATTAAGAACATGTTTGAAATTTTGATATGATTTTTAGATTCAATTGTTTAAACGAGATTTTGAATAATTAAGGGTATTAAATGGAGATAAGTTGGTTTCTATAAATGAAGTTGAGTTTAAAGGCCTTAAGGAAGATATAAGTAGTAGATTTAGATAAGTTTTGGTTAATTTTTGAAATGGAAATGGCATTTATGGGCATGAAGTATCGGTACTGGAAGAACAGTATCGATACTTCAAGGCATAATCAGATTGAATTCAAAGAGTAGTATCGGTACTAGATGAGTAGGTATCGATACCGACTGGTGAGTATCGATACTAGGGGTATAGTATCGATGCCATTTTTTAAGATAAATTTTCAGAACGTCAAAATGGTATCGGTACCGTAGGGGGTATCGATACCATTGAAGGGAAGTATTGGTACTGTAATGGTAGTACCGATACTACTAAGCATGAAATGAGAAATTAAGTGTTTCTTTTAGCTTAAGTTATTATGATTGGATATAAGTGACTCGAATTACGATATTGATTTTTGATTGTTTTGTGTAGTTGTTGAACGTAATCAACTTCCGGTCAGCACGATAATATAAGTTTTAATCAAAAGAATTAAGGACTTTGTTAGGACTTCAGTGAGGCAAAGATGAGTGCAACTTCTTTGTTTTGTATTAAAATTGAGGAAGGCTTGCGATAAGCCAACCTCGGTGTTTTCGATCGAAAACCTTTCACTTTCTTTTATGTTATATTTTACAATGTTTTATTCACATTATATTATGTAAGTTATGCTTTATGATTATGTGTATATGATTATGGAAATGTGACATTTGAACATGTGTATCCGAAATGGACCAATGTGAAAGTGCATATGTGAATAAAAGATACTTCGACTAATGAATTGCAAATAATTATGTGGTTAAAAGCCCAAGGTATATGTATGAGGATTAGAGGTATATTTGGCATGCCAAGAGTTGAGGGTCTATATGGTCCTTCGAGATAATTATGTGGAACTTCGGTACAAACTTATGTGGCACTTTAGTGCAAACCTATGTGGTCCTTCGAGACAATTATGTGGCACTTCAGTGCAAATTACAAGCTGTGGTGACAGCATTAGTGCATAACCTCAATGTACTCAAATACCTAGAGTTCTCCATAGTATACATTGGACAATTGGAAATACGTTATAAAACTAATAATGTGTAATAACATACATTCTTTTTACGGAAATCATTCAAAATTCT